ATTAATGCCACGTACGCATGCTCGCGACGCCGCCTCTGCCGCTACCATTGTAAAGCTGCGAGTAGCTCTCTTTTAGCCTATACAGTGGTTTCGATGCTTCGCTACACTTTCGCGCAAATCATTCCGGGAGTTCGCTCTGATAAACCAACTGAGCGCTACAATTGTAAGCAAGCAAATATGCACGGGGGGAAAAATATGAGCTGTGAAAAATAGGAAGAGAACTGATCGTGATTAAATCACGTTGCAAGGTTGGCACGGTTGCGTGTAATTAGAAAAAAAAAGAAGAGAGAAAAGTATGACAACGGAAGTGAATTGAGTGCCATTGTCGGCGAGCGCGCGGGGCATTTTTCAAGCGTGACCTTGCGGTATAATACGAGAGTGCGGCGTCTGTCTCTCCGTACACAGGTGCCTCTGTCCTCCTGCTGTTCGCTGCTTGTTCCCCGCGGAGAAACCGGAAAAGTGCAGTCGACGAGCACGATTCCGGTGCTTTTGCCGCCGACACTACGGTCGATGAGGCGAGAGATCGCGCCTGCAACAGTGCTGTAGACGAACGCCTGCTTGAATCGAATAATTCCGAATAATTCGTGGCCAATGCTGCGATCTTTGCGTATGACTCGAGAACCAATCATTTCGAAGAATTTTATGTGATATACGCCGGTCGCTCGACAAATAATTAATTCCAAATAATATATCGAATTTCGTAGTAGTTGAGCGATTTACCGACCGACACCGGTGCTTCATTTAAAACCAAAATTATTTTGATCTAGACCAAGCTCGGCGAAATTCATCGAGATTCAGCGAAAAACGCAATTAGGCGAAATCGAGTGTGCTCATAAGTGGCGCGCAAAATTATCAAATTAACACGACTCAAATAGAAGCTCCGTGGGTCTGTTCTTGCGCACGCTGCAGCTGGCAGAAAGTCTCAAATCAAGGCGAAAGAAAGTGAAACAGAACTTTTGTACCACATTCAAACGAAGCCACACCGATAGCTGCTGCTGCTGCTGTTGCTGCTGCTGCTACTGCTGCTGACTACTCCTCGGGGTCGCTAAACTCGCGGACGCTCGACCCTGTGCAGTGTAGCTCCTTTACACTCTTGTTGTATTGTCTTTTCGTTCTAACTCGTCGCTCTCGGATATCATGTAGTCCAATAGAATTACTATTGGAGCGGCAAATAGGAGCAGGGAGCTCACAATTATCACCATAGTAATTATAGTACTATATTTACCACCTCGAAGTTCCTCGTGCGTTTTGCACAATAAATGTTTAAAATTAAAAAATGAAAAACAAATTGTCTTTTTTGACACATTTCTTTATTTCACTCGTAAAATATTATACAAACGATAAACATGCACATAAATAAAGTTGCCGTGTTGATGTATGCTCTTAGAAAATTACGTTTCTCTTAATGATCGAACAAAATAATTACAAGCCTAACTAATTTTTTTTACATTACATGAAAAGTTCTTATGTTTAGAATGGAATTCTCTTTTCGTTAAATAGGTGCTTGTACAGCTCGTTAAGTTTGGGATTGCGTAACTCTGAATAAAATTATTAAAATTTAAAGTAAACGTTAAAAAAATTTTTTATCTAGCGCTATACATGAAAAATTTTTCATTACAACATCTCGCGGAAATTTTCCAGTAGTTATCAATACTAAAATCGAAACATTTTTTTGAAAGATCATTTTAATGAACTAATATTCAAAAACTGTCGATTAAATCACGGTGTATACTAGTTGGTACCTCAAAACGTTCATGAAAAAAAATTATGGCAAGTGTTAATGCCTTGTTCTAATTTATGTTATTGAAAAAAACCGTATCATCTTATCTGAATAAACAAATGCGATAACTAAACAAGATATGGATGTGATTTATCGTGTGATTTTTGAAAAATTCTAGTGTTAAAAGAGCAAAATCAATAGCGTCCGTTGATATTATCAATTAAAATTTTGAGTGCTAATGAAGTTATTTTTGTAAATTTCTCTTTAATTATTTTGCCACTTACACTGAGGCAAATCGAAGCTTACAATGTTGAACCACGGTATTGTATTGCGAATTGAATGCGTGTCCACGGATGAACCCATTTTTATATATTATATGACTGCTTGATTCAGTTATACATAGTACAAAGGCTATACGCTATATTGTATAGGCGATAATTCAATCGTGACGTAAAATATTGTTTGATTCAGGCTTATATTGAATGAATAGAGTAATGTATATTTGACGCTCATATCAACAAAGTGCTCTTGTTTTCACAGATGATTGATGGGACACATTCACACGCTCGCATTGATAATCAGGTGACCCGTTTCCAGACATCTTCCGTCTATCAGGCTGATTATAACTGTATAGTAAACGAGACAAAGCAAGCTTTTTTCTTTCTCCAATACATAAATAACTGAGATGCACGTTTAGTGAAGTTATCGAGTCTAAAAAAAAAAATACAAACGAAGCCAATCAACTCTACGATGATTATTCGATCCGAGCTTAAGTGATGCATAATAAACCTGTGCATACACAGATAAAAGGCACGCAGCGGCGGCAAAGAGTCGTTACGATAAATAAATCGAAATCTCAATGAACGTAAACTCTCTCCCGTATAAGCGCGCAGCCAAGAAAGCAGCCACTGTTCTACGAGCAAGTTTGTACCATCAGTTCGTTCTCAATGCTGCAACGACCGCATGTGTGTATGTGGAAATTGAGCCAGCATTAAACTCGACATTATCTACGGTGACATCAGCGTCCTCGAGTATATAAGGAAAACGAAAGAGATGATGCGGCTGCTACGCGAGTGAGAGCAAGCAGAGAACTACGCGGAAAATTATCCGTCTGGGCTAATAATAAACCGCAAAGAGAGAGAGAGAGAGATGCCACGCCTACGTAGGTTACCACCTCTATATCTCGTAGAGCGGCAAAACTTCTTTAGCTTGCCCGCGAGAATCGCGAGAGTTGTTTACACGCTTAAATGCGCGGGATGCACGCGAGCACGCGCTGCAATTGCCTGCGAGATTTAACGATGGCGTTGCGACTCGTCCTTTCGCCGTCGTTTGCGCAACGGCCATCGTGAAATTTCTTGTGCTCGCGCGCTCTAGCGTTCCTAGTCTTCACACACTGACCCCTTCCGGACCCCCCCCCCCCCCCCCCGCTATTGGTGCGAACTTTCAATTGTGCCGGATAAGGCAACTTCGTTACTATGAACTTCATCGTGAATGTCGTCACGTTCCGAAAAGATCGACAGTATGAGTATAAGCCAGTATAAGTATAGGTAAAGACAGTATAAACCAGAGCGGGCGTCCGTTACGTTTGACGAAACGAGAGGAAGCGACGAAAGGAAAGGTTCAAGTGCAACGGCACAATCGACCTCCGCCGGAAACGCCGGCACTCTACCACTGCAGCAGCAACAAAAACAGATCCCGATGCTCCTATTCGTGTTGACTTTCGCGCATAACTCGTTCCACTCGATTGATAAAAATCGCTTCGTCGAGAGCAAAACAAATTGGATTCTCGATCGCCAATCGAGTGGAGATGTTCTTGTTGGAAATACATACGTCTGAATGTTTTCGAAATGAAACAGGCAATCGCGTCGTGCTTATAACCTGTTAAAATGCAAATTTGACAATTGCAAAGAGAGAAAAGTTACCGTGTAACGCACAACGTACACGCATGGGCATTGCAAAAAATCCTTTGGGAAACATTGTGTTGATACGTTGAACGAATCGTGAACGAGCCTTTCATTTTGTTGACATTACGCACAAAATAAGAGTTGTCAATGCTTTTGGCCCTTCGTACAAATACACTAATCCTTTTTGTAAGCTCGTGTCTAAAAGCTAATGCATTGCCTTTTTACCGCGTTAACGTGAAAGCTTGTTGTTTCAAAAGTATTCAAGCTTCCAGCAATACTCTAATACATCAACCTGGTCTTTCACTGTGAGTCCAAATCCTTGTTTTAAGCTTCCCATCTGCACGAATATTCAAGGTGGTTGAAAGAGAAAGAGAGCGTGCGCCGCAAAGCAGCAGTTATTCAGATGTAACGTGTCGTTCTTTTTTTTTTCGCGCACTGGCTCCGCTTAAATTGATTAGAGACTCGAGAGTTTGCTCTTTATTTGTCTGCTGCCTAACCAGCAGTGGGTCAAATGACACAATCGAAGCTTATGCAACCGGCAGTCAAACGTTTCCAACGGACAAACAAGAAAACAAAATAAACGAGCCGGTTCTATTTTCCACGCAGCTATAAACATGCTTGTCGAGATCCCCAGACCAATCGAGGGGGACGAAAAGTAACAAAACGTCTATGAGAAAAAAAAAAAAACAAATAGAAGAAAGAATGGCGCTCGAGAAGTTCGAGGCGCGCGCGAAAAAGTAAAGTTGGTTCGCGAGCGAGCGGCGAAGAGCCACTGGAAGTGTGGCACATACATCAATCGGGGCCTCCTTTACGTAAGCTTTGCAGTCGCAGAGCTCGCACGGTCGAGTGCTGCTGCTCATCGCACGTAGTTTGCCTTCTGCCGCCGCGTAGCCGCATCGTGCCAGTTGATTCAGCCTGAAATGTGCTCCAGGTGTCCGTTGGCCTCTTCTCGGCCGTCCTCCGCAGCTGCCAGATGCGTGGAAGCTCGCGCTTCGTCACGTGCAACTCTGCTGCTTTAAGCGCGAGAGCGCCGAGGCGCAATGCTCGATATTTTTTTTTTTCAATCGTTCTTTTCTGTTTTTATTTCATTTCACACGTCGATGTTGATTACTTATTTTCGTTAATGTTACATTCTTTACGTTCTGTCGTGTGAAAGTTCATGTTCTGATTGATCTCGTTACCGCATTATGTAAGCTGCGCCCTATTTGTTTTATTAACTGCTATTCTTCACTCTCGTTAATGCGTTTACAAGAATATTCAATTATGGCTATGCTACATTTCACTCTGTTCGCCAACGTAATAAATAGGGCACTAATTAAGACGATATCGAGCAGCGTCGATTTGGTAAGTGACAATTAAGTGAGCTGGAATTTATTATTCGAGTCTTCCAGCTTTATAATCGTTTTCGACTATCAACCTATTGTTTGCGTGTCTTAGAAATTGTGATTTTGATACTCAAGTGATGGACTATATTTAACTTTAATTTATTCTTGCAACAGATAGGTTCAAAAATATGAAATCATTGTGATATAACAGTACTCGAGAATTTCATATAGCCAACTCGACATTGCCTTGATAATTCACGTGGAATTAGGAATAAATAAGAATTTATTTGTAACGAGTCGAATGCACATCGGTGTAAAACTTGCACAAAACATTATCTCTGTTCATGCCGAGATAAGGCTAACAACGACGCCCTTATCACGTTGATCAAATCAAAAAGATAATAACTACAAAGTGTTTATTTTATTCTTGCAGACGATACTAGTTGACGACGACGACGACGACAAAATGGCCGACACGAGTCAGCAGCATCAACAGGAGGTGACGGAGCCGCCGCAGACAAACGGCGTTCTCGACGAAGGTCTTACGGAAGAGGAGAGAAGCAAAATGAGGCCCGCAGATATTGACGCCGTAAGTGTACTTTTACACATATCTTATACCTTATCGTGCATGCCTGCCTCAGACAGATATGTAGACCCTAGTTCCTACTTGTTGCTGGAAGCCGACGACCCCGATTGTCTTCAAAGAATATTTTGATGAGTAAATACACGATTGTGCGTGCAGTCATCTAATAATTGCGGAGTAAATATAAACATCTTTAGGCAATTGGACTAAGAATGACTTTTAATGTTTGTCATTGAATACTTTGACCATTAAGCTTCTCGTGTTTTCGGAGATTTTTGTAAACTAAACTCAAATCAAACACGAAGTTTCAAAAAACAGCTTTTTTAATATTTGAACGAAAATTATGTAAATATTTTATTATATTTATCTTCAATCTAAACTGTAGAAAACATTCAATTTTTAATATAGCGCTATGTCAACAAAAACATAACCTATTCATACCCATACACTTTGGCATAAGCCATTTTGATTAGTTACGATACATTTTTATTTTAGCAAAATAAAATTAAGCTTTGTCAATATCTTTCTGCATATAAATTTACGGTGAAAATTAACCTCGAAACACAAGTGTTAATAAATTAACCTTGAAATGGCTGTGATGTTTTTTGTTTTGAGAACCAGCCAAAAACGAATAGCCGAAACTATCGAGTTTCATTGTTAGCGTAAAATTAATTTTAGAACAATATAGTTGCCAAAATAAGGACGGTACTCTCATCGAGTCGATTGTTTTGCAGGACATGAAAGAAATGGAAAGGAGAAAAAGAGTAGAGATGATGATGAATTCTCGCTTGTTCAGAGAAGAATTGGAACGTATCATAGAGACCCAAATGAAGGATGGTTCCGGTCCGTCTGGACTGTTGCAACAAATTTCGGAAATGATGGGTCATCAAGGCGCTCGTTTCAATACTAGTGTGTTCAAAAGTAAGCCTAGCCTCCTTCTACTTGACGTACGAGTACTTGACGTATTTTATTACTTTTGCAGATTCGAATTGTGTGGTGCCGATAAACGACATTCGAGGTGTAGAGAGCATGGGCTATGCAAAGGGCGAGAAGCTGCTGCGCTGCAAGCTCGCCGCGGTCTTCCGGCTGCTCGATCTGTACGGTTGGACGCAGGGCGTCGGAGGCATGATCACTGCCCGTTTGAATCAGGACCAAGAGCACTTCCTCGTTAATCCCTATGGTCTTCTCTACCACGAGGTGACGGCCTCGAGCCTCGTCAAGGCTGATATGCAGGGCGGCGTGGTCGAACAGGGCACGACCAACTTTGGCGTGCAAATCGCCGGATACCAGCTGCATTCGACCATCCACGCCGCCAGACCCGACATCAAATGTATCGTGCACATCGCCACTCCATCCGTCACAGCCATCTCGTCGACCAAATGCGGCATTCTGCCCCTCGGCCAGGAGAGCATCGTCATCGGAGAGGTCAGTGCGCACCACTACATCAGCGCCGGACCTCTCAACTCCGACGAGCGCGAGAAGCTTGCGCGCAATTTTGGACCCATCAACAAAGTCATGCTGCTGACCAATCGGGGTGCCCTCTGCTGTGGTGAGACCGTCGAGGAGGCCTTCTTCAACGTCTATAACACGGTGCTTGCCTGCGAGACGCAACTCAAGCTTATGCCCGTCGGCGTCGACAATCTCAACCTCATCACCGACGAGGCTAGGAAGGCCATCTACGAGGCATCGCGAAAGGCACCAGTCCCACAAACCAGCAGCGTCGCCGAACCCTCGCCTCTCGCTGAGAAGCTCGAGAAGCGCTGGCGCATCGGTGGCACCGAATTCGAAGCTCTTATGCGCATGCTCGATAATGCAGTGAGTATTCGTTTTAATTGCACTGCTTTAAAACAAAATCTATTAGTACATTGTTTCTCTCTTTTATCTCGAAATAATGTGTATATTTGTGCACAGGGCTTCCGTACTGGTTACATCTACAGACATCCATTAGTCAAGAGTGAACCTCCAAGGCCAAGGAACGATGTTGAAGTACCTCCAGCTGTTTCTTCTCTTGGATATTTGCTTGAAGAAGAAGAGTTATACAAACAAGGGTAAACTCAATTGACGAAAATCATTTATTCATTCATTTATAACAGTTCACTAATATTATAAAATGTTTATAGCTTGTGGAAAGGTGGACGCAAAGGTAACGACAGAACACGTTGGCTCAATTCACCAAATGTATACCAGAAAGTAGAAATTCTAGAGACTGGTACTCCAGACCCAAAGAAGATTACTAAGGTAGAAGTTATAACCTTCGAAGATAAGAAAGATTAACTTTTTCTAATCGATCCTCATAATACTTCAATTTATATAAACTTATCTTAAGCAAAAATAACGCATTCTGGATGAAGCTTTTAAAGTCGTTAACCACGTTTACTAGTGTCGCTTTTAACATAGAATTTATCGATGAATTTATGAAGATCAATTTATATATATCAATATATATATATACGTTATGTGATGCAATCAAAGTACCGATATGAAGAATCATTGTTCGCCGTTTCAATGCTCCTTGAGCTTGTTCCGACTTTTCGTATTACTCAAAGCAAAAACTCTTCGAGCATTCCAAGCAATGCATTCCATTTTTTTATATTTCGATTTTGTCGCCTTATTTGTTAAGAAATTTTGTTGTTTTTTAAATGTGCAACTCAACAGTGTCGCAAACGAATAAAGCGATCATTATCATGTCATAGTCTTAGTTCCTGTGCATAGTCACTGTTATTATTCATATATGTTGTTTCTAGAAGTAAGACGTGAAAAGTAATATCTATTGTAGCTAATGTTCCAATAAAAATAAATACTGCTCAATCGTGATGATGAAGCTACTTGTATACCCCTTATATAGTCCTCTACGTGGGCAAGTAGGATAGTTCATATTATACAGTAAATGGAATATTTTTTAAAATATAACTCTTCAAACGAATGTGTGTCTGTTGGTCATCATCTGAAATTTTGATGGCCTCGGCATCAAACATCCACTGCATCCACAAAACCAGATGTGAATTGGTAATTCTAGTAACTTTATTCATCGCTAAACTAGATAAAAATAGTGGAAAGTTTTATACTACAAACTGAAATGACTCCGCATGTTACGATTCAGACTAGCAGGCACACAGCTCGGTTTAGTAAGAGTGGCCATAGAGCTAATTTTCCTTTGCATTGGTACTCGAAGAGTTTTTTTTAATCGATGGAAAAAATTTATTTGCTAAAATCCATCGTGCGGTGTCAGAATATCTATAATGTTCTGGTTTTGTGCGCAGTGGGTGTCCGATGGCTCGCCAACACACAGCAGCACACCAGTTAAAATCGATGGCGCTCTACAATTTGTACCGAAAAATACCAATCCAAAAGAATTCAAGCAACTTCAACAACAGGTTAATATTAGTTATTATTCTGTAAATGACTAAACAATAAATTTTTACAAATAAGACTTTCATTTTTGCAGATTAAGGACTATAGAAGAGCTGATAAGATTTCAGCTGGACCACAGTCACATATTCTTGAAGGTGTCACATGGGAAGAAGCAAAGAAGATGCAGGTTGGTTTCTATTTTATTTTATAAACAATTAATATTTAGTGTACTAAATATACCACTACATTTTTCCGCGTTTTTCTTTATATTCACTAATAAAAATTGCATAATTAATTTTGAAAATGATGGATTTCAGGATGCAACAATAAGTGGTACTGGAGAACAGGTTGTGCTTGTTGGAGCCGCTAGCAAAGGAATCATTCAACGAGGATTTCAACATAACGCAATGGTGTACAAAACTCCATACGCAAAAAATCCATTTGATGCTGTTACTGATCAAGAGTTAGATCAATACAAAAAAGAAATTGAACGTAAAACGAAAGGAGACATCTGTATGTTTATCGATTTTCAAATATAAATTTTTTTGTGATTACAAGAGGTGCACAACTGCAATTTTCAATGTACAAATAATTTAAATAATATATTTTTCTTTAGATGACGAATCGCAGTCAGAATCTGAAGCGCTTTCATCTTTCAATATAAGTCGTGCCACACACGAATCAAGCACTGCCAAGAGTCCTATTCAGTCACCAGTTTCCGTAACATCTGAAACGGAAGAAGAAAGTCGAGATGGTAATTTATTATTATTATTCAACAATTTAGATTGTTTTGAAACATTCTTATTGAAATCTATTATTCTTATAGAACCAAAAGTATTACGGATAGAAACCAAACAAGTGCCTGCGCCAAGTCAACCAGAAGTTGTGCTTAGTGATGGTGAGTTTCATTACATTTTGAAAAATGTATTTTGAGATGTTTGCAAAGGTTTTTTTCGATTGTATTCTATTGTTATTTTTCATCATTTCAATTTTTAATTTTGCGACTTTACGCGTTAATTATAACTTACAAACTATTATGCATGATATTTTTTGCATGTGCATGCAAACATTTTCGACGCAGAACGGTCAATTAATTCTCCGGTAATGGAAATCTCAAATGCACTTCGGGAGGACGTAAAATCTGAGCCGTTAAAAGCTCAACAAAAAGTGAATGTCCAAACAGGTAAAAGTCGCGATACCGAATTCATCTTTAATTTTTTACTATAAACCTTACATTTCGGTAAATTTTGGAATATATTACAATATTTTTTTTAAAAAATATGCTTTTTACTTCATAAAATGTGCATAAGCATATTTAATTTATTTTCATACTATTAATAAGTTGCTAATCATAATTACACATCCAATAACTGTTTCATCAATTAGCAGTTTTATTTCTCAATTAATCTACTTTTATGGTTTAAAATCAAATGAAAAAATTGTACTTATATAAATATACTAACTTAAAATCAAAGTAACTTTAAACATAAAATATATTTAGTTAAAAAAAGAGGAACTTGAAACCGAATCAAGCGTCATTTTCATCTAATATTTGATAAATTTAACTTTGATTCGTATGGCAGTGAATGCTGAATTTCTCAATGAGCAACGCCGCTCCGAGATGATGACAAGAAGGAATGCCAATGGACGAGGTAATACTAACGGCATTTGTTTCTATACAAATGCTAATTGCTGCTTTGATTATCCACTTGCTTTTTAACGCTCAAAGTACTCCTCCCAATGTGCTTGATTTTGTTCAAATTCAATTATCTTTAGTTGGCACTCGCACCTCTATGATTATTAATCACCAATTATATTTTATTTTTCATTCGCCTGTTTTACATGCTTTGAAATAGCTTTATGGCATGGATTTAGTAAGAGTTTACGAATTTTTTTTTACAACCCGACCTCAAACTTCCTGATCCTTTCAGTAATAATCATTCAATAACATTCTTTTTCAGTTGACTTAAACCTTTTCTTTTTATTTAAAAAAATTAACAATATCTTTAAAAAATATTTATTTCTTTAGCACATCACTATCAGGTATAAACTAGTTTTATATGGTTTTATGGAGTATTTTTCAAATTAGTATATTTCAGTTAATTACATTTATAGTTTTTCAGTAAAATATCTCATTTATTCAAAAGTTTGTTGTTTCAAAAATGAAAATGTATTAGTGTATGCATGACAACAATATCATATAAGATTGTGTAAATGAATGTAAGTGGTTTATAAGAAAGTGTATTTTTTAACTGATATTGTTGATTTTAAATATTACGATCTAAAATAAGTTCACGGAAATCTAGTCAGGTAATAATCAGGACGTTTGAAAGTCGTATAACTATTCGGAGGTCTCGTAATAGTAACTTCGAAAAAAGATGAGAAGAAAAAGAGAAAGTCCGAAAACGTCAAGGGGTGCGGGGAGCTCTACTGCTGTGTCTTGTCTAATTGATTGTTTACAACGATTTCATTTAATGCATTAGCCATGTTTGTGTTTGCCGCGTCTGTGGTTGCAGGAGTTTCTGGAGTGTCGAGACTTAGCAGCAGAAGTACTAACAGTATTGATGATTGTTGGCGATGGTCCGATAACTACGACGACTGCGTGCTCGAGACGGCACGAGCTCAAGAGCTCCCTCGACCTATGAAGCCTCTAATTACTGAAGTTCAGAAATTTTCTAAGGCCAAACAAAAATTGAAAAAAGATTTCTTTGAAAACTATGAGAATATCATTTCAATTACGTCTAACTCTACATCTGAAAACAATGACATCAATCAGAAACGTGAGAGTGCTGCTGTTAAATTTGGAAGACATAATATAAATTTACCAGTTGAGAATTTCGAAAACAAGAAGAAATCTAGTACAAAGTGCCAAAATTACAGAGAAACGGAAACTGAAATTAATAATATTAGATATACCAAAACAGCTGACATTAACTTTGCCGAAATAGTTAGCTTACCTGTTGAGTATTTTTCTACAGAGCATACGATTTATAATATTAATAAAAGAGATGGTAAAACTACTGGGCACATTCTAGAAAAGGCAGAAAATAATATTGAAAAAACAACTAATTTTTATAACATGAAGTTGAATACTTTATGGGATAATCAAACCAATAAGAATACATTTCAACGGGATAACTTACAGCATAAAAAAGAACAGAGTAACAATTTTGAGAGCATGAAAGACAATAGAGATTTTGATAATTATGTCAATAAATTACAATTTTCCAATTCCTACAGCAACGAAGAAGTGAACACGGATAAGACATGTTCTTTTTTCATAAATGATACGAGCAAAATAAATAACAATAGTATAAAATCTCAGAATGAGTCTATTCTGAGCACTTCAGAAAAATCATTCAACAGTACAATAAAGGTAATGTCTCCTAACAGTCAAAATAATGACACTACAACAAATAATCAAGCATACACAGTAAACAATAGTGTACATTTTAAAAATGAATTTGATGTAAGTGGTAAATACGTAGATCATTATGTGAATGAATTACAGTTTGATATTAGTAATTACTCGAACGATGCCGCCCTGGATAAATCTACAATGAAATCTCATCATAATGTTTCTAATCACCAAGACATTCAAAACAAAAATATTATAATGAATTATTGCAATGAACTAGAATTCTCAACTGGTAAAAGTCAAAAAAATATTACATTAGACCAAAGTCCTGTAGAAACATTTGAACTCGAATTCAATACTAAAATGCAATCTTTAGTTAATAGTTATTCAACACCACTAGAAGATGATACTTTTGAGAAAAATCCATTGGATGTTAATTTAAAATTATTTTTGGAAAATCAAAGTGACATGGATAATCATTTGTCGAAGGAATCATTTGAAAATATTAACGCAATAGTAAAAACTAATGTAGTATGTGACAATATTTTTCGTAGTTCAAATCGAGAAAGTTCTGACAGTAATGGTAATGCGTGGACTAGTGACAGCACGAACTGTTATGATGATGAGATTGAACGACCTCGTAAATTAAGAAAATTTAAATCAAATTTAGATTTTACATTCTCAGAAACTGACAAAAGTAGTGGAGATTTTAGTCCTGTGTCAACTCCAAGAAGTAGCTTTTTCAGTGATGATGAATTGGTAATGAAAAGAATTACTCGGAATGATAGTATTTCTGAAGTAGTTAGTAGTATTGATGCTAATATAAAACCCACTTCCAAAGTTTTTGTTGATATGCTAGCTGATACTGAAAATTCACTAAAGTATAACCTTGATTCTCAAAATATGAGTCTCATCTATAGCATTACACCACAAAATGATATAGGCTGTTCCAGTCAAGACACAACCATAACAGAGGATCTTTTAGAAGATATTGAAGACCGTGAGGATATCAAAAATGAGAAAAATAATGGTGACGTTAATTGGATTAATCTTACTTCTACTGATAAAAAAAAAGAAAACACATATGAAACAAGTGAATTGTCAAAAAACTCATTTTTGTCTAATATTTCGTATCCAGGATTGGATCAACGGGAGTTATCGAAGTCTACGTATCAAGATTTACAAAAATCTAATGATGAGACCTTTCATAGGGATATGAGCACGTCGGTTGATCAAATCATTCAAGAATTAAATGACGCGGAAATACATATAAGCGCTGCTAATTTTGTGGATGAAATCATATTTGATATTGAATGCTTAAATTTGACACGTGATTCGAGTAGTCGCTACTCTAATAAGGAAGAACTAAACCGATTTATAAAAGAAAAGATTTCATCTATAAATTTTACCAGAAATTTAGCGAAAGATCTTGTTAATAATTTGTCTTACAACGAAACTTCGACTACGTCAACTGCCAAGGTTAGTAAAAGTAATGAAGATTTGAGCACGGTAGAGAATTTAGACGAAAACCTCTATGTCATTCATGAATTCATCCATCATGTAGTAGATAAGCATAGTTTAGGTAAATTTGATTCAAAGTTTAAGAAAACCGTAACTGATAAAAAAGTTAAAGAGTCAATGAATATTGAACTAAAAAGTCTTAAAGATGATTACGATGTGACAGACGAAAAAAGCTTGAAGTGTTCAACACCAATTAGAACCAGAAACAACAGCTCTTCTGAAGAACAATCTTTACCAGATAAAGACCCTGAAATTCACGAACGCGTTCAACACAATGTTACGACTGATTGTAAAAGTCAGCAAAGCTCAGATAATGTATCATCATCGACCTCTTCTCCTTCGACGGAATCTCAAAATTTTGCTGAGCAAGAAATCACTTCGGAATCAACTGATAATGATACCAAATCAGATAATAGCAAAGAAAAACAAACCAGTATATTAAAAAACAGTCAATCGTCTAATGACCAACTGTACACACAATTTTCTTCAGATTCTCCTGAATCTCTGACCATTAATCAATCTGATAGCGGAGAAACAGTAAAGGTTCATTCGAAAGAAGTAAGTTTTTGCATAATTGAATGTTTTGATGAATGCGGGCAGATTCATTCTGATTACATAAATGACAATTTCGACTTGGATGCAAGTGCGAGTGAATTCGAAGAAGACTTTATAAATAGTCCCGAAAAAATTGATGCCATGTGGCACAATAGCGAAATAAAATCAGATGAAGTTTATGCTTTAGAGCGCCTTGCGGAAATTTCAAATAAAAATTTAGATCAAGATTCTGAAGAAAAAATTGATGAGTTACGCCAACTCATTCAAAATGATGCGATAGCTATGATAGCTGGTATTGAAAATCAATCAATGTCTGTTATTGAAGAACAATCAACGTCTTTTATTGAAGAAGATGATGATGAGATTGATAATAGAATAGATTCCCATCATCAATTCGAAAAAGTCGATGAATGCTCCTCTTGTTATAAAGAGGGAGATACATTCGAATATCTTACAAATACAAACAGCGAGCGTTTATCCACGATATCTGAGGAACCCGAATTAGAATATGTTTTAAACACTAAATCAACTAATATCTTAACAGAAACATTTAATGTTACAAAGTCATTTGAAAGTCTGCCTCTAATAATTCAAGAGCCAGATCTAAATTTATCATATGATGATGATTTAGAAGAGTCAAATGATTCAAGAACGACAGAATTCCATTCTTGCTTGAATTCGGCGTCTATAAACGCTGATAACGAGGCAGAGATCACTGATTCGACGAGTAACGTGTCGAATAAAGACAATAGTGGTTGTGAGAAAACGTACAGCGCTGAGGTATCGGTGAATAACAATGTTTCTGCGACAGCCATTATGTATAGTTCTGAGTTTAATATTTTTGAAACTTGCAATGGTAATATAACGAAAAATGTTGTTGACATTTCTAGCACTAGTTCGATCGATATTAATAAAGAAGAAGTTGTATTGGAATATATGACTTACTCTTACGACACAAATGAGTTCATAAAATTGGAAAGGGCTTGTTCTGACAGTAGCAACGATTCAAGTGACATTTATGTAACTGCTGATTTGCCAAATGCTCCGCCTTCATAATATGAATCTTCAGTCAATTCATAAGTTGAGCTAGACCTAACGAAGAAGAATTACAAGTACTCTGCAGCAGGATTGCAGAAATTTAATTTGATTAAAATATACAAGCAATACGTATTACATTCCGATAACTGTGATCGCAAAAATATTATTTAGATATTAATAAATATAGATTGAAATTGTGATAAAATCGGAAACAATAACTAGAGATTTTCTTATTTAGCATTAGTTTATAAGAACCAAAGGTTATTTCTAAAAATTTCAATATCTTAATTTAAAAGAAAATTAGAGGTTTAATAAATATTACGTAAGAATTAGAGAAATACACTTTTCCATTTACAACAGATTATGGTATCACTTATCATACAATAAACGATTAAAGAAAAAGTATATTAAAGAGTTTATTTATTGTACCATTTGAGAAGTCAACTTAGTTCGTATAATACACCTATATAACTTTTGATTTATTTTATTCAATAAACAATTTTCAAATGAGATTTTGACTTTCAAATAATTAAGGCTATCATTGTTACATCATCTTTTCATTTAATTTAAACCATTTTTGTTTTCAAACACTATTAACTTTTTGCACGCTATTTTCACACATAAGAAAAATTCTTGATTTCTATGAACTAAAGAAATTTTTAGTCATAAAAATTATTACATTCTAAATTTGATATTGAAACTATAATTTTTAACTAAAATACATACATAAAATCAAGAACTTTTCTTACTAATAGAATAATTTTTGGTGTTTGGTCTTCCTCAAAGCATGCAACGTTTCATAATGCATTCACTTTTCTTCTATAAAAAAAGAACTCGTTATATCTCATATATAAGGTAAGCTATATTGCTACTTAACATCCATAATACCTTCAAATCAAGACATAGCATACCAACATTGTTAATTCAACCTTTTGTCGTGAAAGAAATAATTCTAATTAAAAATATATTTTTCAGGAGAGAATACCATCAACGGCGACCATTCGGATGCGCACCACAGCACGTTCTCGCATAGTAGCAAAGAGGTATATTACGGATATATTTTTTCAAGTTTCGAATTGCTAAAAAGAAAAGCTATACTAAATTTCTGCTATCAATATTTTCGTACACATATATCAATATTTCTGGTTATATAGTTTGTTAATGATGTTTTATCTTATTAATAAACTTTCAATTTCGGTTTTCACGTGGATTACTTCAATTATTTGAATATTTATACCGACTGTTCTATAGAATAAAATGCGTCCTTATTAATAAGATACCGCATTTCTTTGGCTTGAATCTTTCGATAAAAGAAAAACAGATGTGCACACTTACACTATAAAATATTAAATATTTAATAGTACATTTTTTCAGTTAACAAACCATGATTACATTATATACTTATAAGATTATGCTATCTAGTGTTTGAATCATTTTATATTCGAATATTTAGTATAGTTTATCTTTTTTTTTTTTCAAGTTTTATGTTGGAATCTCTACTATAAAAATAATATTCAACTATACAAGTAACGCAGATTCTCCGTTCAACATATAATAAATAACTTAAATTAACAAGTAATTTTCAATATATTGTGAAATTCTAATAATCCATTCGATAGAATGGTCGTTACTAGAATTTTTCTACTTGAACTTGAGCTTACCTGCTAATTCGCTGCATGTAACAATTTTCAATATTATTCTAACTACGGACGCAAGTCAATAAAGGTGAATATTGTCGTTAATAATATTACAGAGTTAGTATTGTGTTGTAAAACATTACAACTAAAATGTTATGATTAGACTTCTTTTTGATTATCTAGTTATAAAGATATGTTTGATAATGAACGAATTAATTTGCAACCGAGTGCAATATCAAATTTATTGGCTTTCTTCAAAAAATATAAATAAACGCAAGCATGTGCATGAAAAGAGGTTTATGGTTACGGTTGGGACCTTCCATGTTAAGGGTGGTTCCATGTCGCAGGACGTAAGCGTTAGTGAGGAGTCACCTAAAAAAGAAAAGAAGAAAAAGAAAGGCCTGCGGACTCCATCCTTCCTGAAAAAGAAAAAAGAAAAGAAGAAGTCAGTCGAGGCGTAGGTAGTTGATGCTCAGGTGCGTATTTTCATCAAGTTTCTAAATGGACTTACTCTTTGGTATCGGACACTGAAGCAGGACATGAGCTCTTGAAAAGACTCTCAATTAAAAAGTATTTCATAAATATTCTTTTTGATATTCAATAGTATGAGTGAATCGAACAGCTTATAACTTCAAATCAAAAAATCGATTCACTCAATTAATTAGTACTGCAATTAGATCATACAAAGTAAAATTTTGAAATTTAGAATAGAGCATTTGCTGCGCTATTTTATTTGCAATTACGTAGTTTTTATGATATTTTTAAGTTTGTTTGAAAACATTTTGGAAAATGAATTGAAAATTTCATAGTTTTTATTGAATTGGAGAATAATACTTTTTCAAGAATGAGCTCATAAATTTTAATGTGCATGATTATATCGATTTGGATCTAATGGAAATTATCATTTTTCAGCCACTGCCAATAAGAAAAAAAGCTCATTTCAAGTGAAAGAAAAATAAACAAATGCAACTCCTCAAGCAAAGCGATAAATGTGTAAAGCTTGAAGATGAAGAAATTAACTCTAGAGATGCAAGAAAAATGGCGGCGTGCGATACAGCATTTTTCTGGAACTCAAGACTGCCATTTTACAATTACTGCGAATTAGCGATTTCGTTACTATTGTCTATTATTAAAAATCGCTACTTCATTCATATATAAATGCTAAAAAGGGACTTATGTTTAATACGACTTACTAATCTTTGTTTGATATAAAATTGAATTTGTAAGGAAAAATGCCGTAGAATGCGCCGTAGAAAATACGTAATAGTAACAGAACTAATGAAGGCCGACTTTTCGTGAGTTTTTTAAAAATGTTGAACCTAGACAAGAATACGATACAGCTTACGCCTTTTTTCTTCTACTACTCTATTTTCATAAGCGGCCTAGGAAACAATCGAGATAAACACAGAACGAACGTTAAGGGCTGATCTAGCCACAATATTTTTAGCGCGTTGCGACCGGCAGCGCTAGAGATGACGAAACGATCGATTGAAATACACGCAAATAAAAAATCAATTATACGATAAATATTATATGAAAAAAGAAGGAAAAAACATGTAACAGCGCTATGTGTGTTGGAAGAGTAACGGTCGTAGTAATGTTAGTATAATTCGATCAATTTGGCTTTGAATGCTTGTGCTTGCAAACTGAAACCGTGAAAATGCTTTTAATGCGTTTTATCTTTAAACTCTGCTATTGTCCATTGTCTTTTATCACTTTGCTCCTCCTCTTTCGTAATTTCGATTAATAGGAAGATGCGTAGAAGAGGAGAACCAAGCAGTAATTAAGCAAAGAGGCAGTCAAAGAATACAGCGATTTTTAAATAAATAAAACAAAAAATCAAGACGATGTTGTAAATGCTGAAAAATGAAAATAATGTGACTTGTCGCTGTTCGTAAATTGACTATATATTTTATTTTTTATTGTTCTGTCGTTTAGCTTTTATCGATATCATTGATATTAAATTAACGATTTAAGGACGAACTAAGTGCGGATGTACGATGTAACGTCTTAAGCATTCTTTGTACAGAGAAAAAATGAAGTAAATAATTTACTACGTACGTGGGTTGGATTCATCCTTTTCCTCCCTTTAAGAAAGTTCTATCTACGGCGAGTGCCTTTTGTTTTGTATCGTGATCTGCTATTGATTGAGGTATTTGTGTTGTGAGAATGCTACTATTATTTTCTTTTAATCAAATTAAGAATTTTCTTTTGAGAATTCTGTGACAACAGTAAAATTGTACAATACAAAATGAATTTTATGAATTATTGTTCAATATTGATTTTATAAAATGATTTAAAATATTTTATGATTTTTTCATGCTTGTTATGCTTATTAGTTTTCTAGATATGGAGAAAATTATTCGAAGAAACAATCAAAGGCACTTGGATTGTGTTTCATTTTTCTCTTTGCATATTTGCACGTCAATCAATTGAAGAGAAAAATATATTAGAAATCATGATAAATTTGAGAAAAAAATTAAATTATACATGCTAAAAATGTTGATACAGAGATTATTGAGAGCGACATAAGACATTATATGTAAACGAAAATAAAGTGAATGCAAAATTAAGAACCTTATGAAGTACTATCATGCATAGCGGTAATGATTGTATTATTGACCGATATGATAATTACAGTTTATCATTGTAATAGTTAATATATATTATAATATAAAATTAATATTATTAATATACATATGTAGATGTCTTTTTTTAAATCCTCCTAACTCGTTCATTTTTTCCTAACTATTTAAAACAACGAACGTTGGAATACTGAAAATCATCGTTATCCGTTTGAATTAATTGAAATAATGTTTATATTGTGTATGTATAAATATTATTTGAGTATTTAAAACAAACTAGGTATTTTTAAGACAAACTTAATTTATATAAATCACGTGCTGTCCTATAATTACACAAAGACTGCAATCTGCCAGGAATAGAATGAATGGTGCAACAGTAATCTATTACGGATTTGTTACTCATTTAACATTTTTTATTCTTTTTCTTAGGCTTTAAAAAATTATTTGTAATGGAAAAAGGAATTACTGAAATGAAAGGAACTTGAAATAATATTAAGAAGTAATGAAAAGAAACGAATAGATTTTTATTCACAAGAGGCAGGTGTAGTTAGATTGTATAATGATGTTCATTTACTTCATACAATAATACTTGATCTCTTATGAATTCTTATCGACTGTTAATCGTTTTTTCTACTACGCATATAAACGAACGCTTACGCTGTTATTTGTATGAATTATTTATGCTATCAATACTTGTCCCCGTAAAACTTTTTTGCGTCCTTGGATATCATAGTGTATTGGTGCGCGTCAAAACGTAAAATCATCAACGTATCCTCTCACATTATCACTTGATTAGTAAGTCATGTAACTCCTATCCAATGGAGAGTATTTTTACAGCAATAATTTTCTATAATGCTGCAAACCCGTCATTATTATCATAAAATGTTAATATTAACTATCATCGTTAACGTTAACACATAAAAAGCTCGCCTGCTGGCAATGTTTGCTTGATGCATTGACTTTTTTTATCGTCACGTCAGTGCTCATCGGATACGTAGACGATTCAATGAATGATCAAACCAATAGTAAATGGTTTTTAGACAGGCGAATACAGTAAACGAAAAAGCAATATTTCAGCAGTACATTTCTTAGCTTCTTGACAATGACAGTATATAATATATTCAACAAGTACATCATTTCAACAATCATAAGTGGGACTGAGTGTTAATTGTTTTACGTGATAGCAGTCAAATGTATCGATGGCAATCAGTATGGGTATGATTAATATATAATAGCACGTGTAAACAATTTTTATGCAAAATTAAACTTCTTTTTTCAATCAGTACTTATACTAAATTATCATTTTCAAACAAAGCGAAAAGTTGATTCACCCCGTAGACAATTTTAATTACATTATTTAATAACATATATTTTTGTTTTGTGGAATATACGATTAATTCTACTAATTACGAGAATCAACACACTATGCGATTGAATATTTTTCATTTCAAAGCGCACAATTATTTCGAAGCATTGCATTTTGTGCTGCGATAGTTTTTCTTCTACAGATAAAGCTCTGTTTGTTTACCACGTTTCGATTACAATACGCTATTCACGCACAAACCAAGCGGATCACTGAAAGCTTTTTTTAAATATAAGAATTGTATAAAAACAATTTTTTTTACCATATCATAATATTAATTTGCACGCGAACCTTGAAGCTTTTATATAATCTTTATTTTATAAACTGTATGTGTACTATTTTGTGGTAGAGAGTGAGTATCACTTTATTTGCAGATGGATTATATCCGAGGTTATATCGAAAGTGCAACGTTCAACAGCATATTTTATATATATGTATATATATACATATACATATATATATACACACAATTTCTTCTCTGCTCCCACTTGAAAATTTCTCTTTCTCCATTTTACAATACAAATAAAACTAGTACCGTCTATCCGAGTCATTCATCTTGACTTTATAAAATATTTGACATTAATTCACGTACCATTACCTTTCAATATTTACACTAAAGAATAAAATTATTACTACTGGTTTAATATGATAAAAAGATTTATAAAAACAAATTATACTAGAACATGTCAAAATATTTCAATAAAGTTAAATTATAAAATACTTCTATGTTTTTCCTATTACCTTTTAGATTATTAATCCACTAGTTTTTACTATGCACTCCAAAAAATTGTTCTGATGATTAGAGATCTTATAACTTTTTATTCATTTCAAACCATAAAAAATAAACCTACCCAAATAGCTTTAAAATATTGTCGTTAAAATATTGAAAATATTTCGACAACGTGTAAATACTTATGATTTTCGATAACGAAAATGATAATACAGTTTTGTAACGTTATTTACTGTGAAAATGTGAATTATATTTGTGAGCAATTTATAATTTTTAGAGTAAAATTGTGACTTCATTTCTTGCAAAATATTGCTGCTTGCAATAATATTGTATTATGTTGCACACAAATAATATTCATATGATTGTTATATTGATTTCAATATATCATACTTATTTACATGCTGATCATTAAAGCTTACATCCGGCAAATAGATAATTAATATATTTACACACTGAAGCAGCTTTCAAAGGGTCAAAAAGTTTACCTGTGTCGTTAGCGTCAATGATTTCAAGAGAGTAGGTATGTTTGTTGTTGTATTCTTTGCTTATTTCTAATACATGCTTACTCTTTTATTATTTTTTGCACATACATTATCGAAGCTTAAATTTTGCTTGAGCGTGGTCAAACAATAAATCAATATACTTTGTGGAGGAATAAATCTTATTCTAATATTCCCCACCCGTTCACGCACTTTTTAACCGATACACACTTCGATCTTTAACATTCGAATTATTTACTTAATTTCTTTTGTTACTTTTTTCTTAACCCTACCCTACGTTATAGAATAGTCATCCTGGGTCCCGCGAATGTTTGTTCATTCTTTATTGTAAATTCGACGTCCTGCGCAGATTATATGTAATTTGTTTTAATTTTAATATATTCCGACGAGATCGACAATAATATGGTATCTATGTGGTTATTACTCTCTCGTGCATAAAATCTGCAAAAAACTATAGGAACGCTTGTCATGTGATTCAACATTAACATCAAGTGCTTTCACATTCTAACTATGTATATGTAGGTATACTTAATATCACGATTCCACAAAGATTGTGGTAATCATATAAGTAGCCCTTCGAATACCAGTCTAGATAAGAGTTATTCGCGTGTGTTTCATAGAATTACGCAGCCGAAAATGTACTGTCAACGCAAATCAACGTATTTGAAAGCTGTTTTATAAAAGAAGCTCAAATTGATGAAAAAATTTGATTCTTAGCTGTTAAAACAAGCATATCAATTTAACAAAGCTCAAGTTGTTGCCTGCTAGCCTGTTAATCATATAATATTTCCGTGTGTGTTACTTTTCATTGTGTAAAACTGTTATATCATTATCGTGGCTATGCGTATGTTACAATCTATTCGGTCTTTATTTTTACTTGTTCATTGGATCGGGCATAGACCGCGCCTCGATGAAAATCTCTGCACTAGCGCGCATCCGCTGGATGCATTTGTGAGCTCTTTCGTCTATACGTTTGTTTTTTTATCTTATTGTATGCAGCTTATCGGAGACGTGAAGAATTGTGATTCTTCCGTGCTTCTATTCGTATTGTTCATTTTTCATCGCTATTTGCTTACGCTAGCATAGCTATCTATTATATATTTACACATATGACGTGTGTTTAGTGCAGCATTATACATGCTTGAAAAAAGTCGAGAAAAAGTCGAGATAACATTCAAGATCTTCGGTAGGGTTTTTGGTTTTGTTGTATAATCGTAGTCCTATTTTTCTCTCTCATTCTCTACCTTCGTAGGTAGACTTTCTTTTGTTTTGCAAGCTTCGCTTGACCCTCGTGAAAGTAATATTTAGCTCTCTTAAATATTTTCTAACGTCTTTCACACATACAGTTGTAGTCGGCATAAAAAATAAATTACCTATCAGCTGGACAGTACATTACCCCCGTTCTTGTTTGCCTCGCAAAATACGTCAATTCGTATGGCAACTGTCCCGAAGCACATAGCGATAGAGACCATCAACAGTGTTGTTTTTCGTAACTCTTGCGCGTGCAGTCGAACGTATGTACAGAAACTAGAATCTCGTGAAACTGACGAATGGCGCTCGTAGTTACGCAGTAACCGCTCTATCCGGGGGCGGGTCAGATCGCAACGCGCGTAGCTTCTTGCTTTTTTACGTTTATTCCGTCGAGAATGAAACACACAACACCGTGTACGCTTAAGCTCTAGCTACGCGTTAACTAGCATTAGACACGTAAATGCATGACCGGCTGCTTGAAATATCAACTAACGAGACGAGCAAAGAAAGGATAATGCATGAGAATGTAAACGGATAGCCCGTGCCCTTGTTGGCCCACGCTCGAGCTTTCTTCGGGTCGGCTTTCACTTAGGAGTGGTCGCTCTCCCAGCGGGCCAGCTGGATTCGTCTGGAATCGAGCGATGGCGAGAGCAGCGATTTGAGCGAGGCAGTCGGCGGCGATCCTCCGAAGTATTTCAGGGTCAGCGGCGACTGCAGGTGTCTGTGTCGGATGACCTCTCGCTCCGCAGGCAGTGATGACCAGAGTTCCTGCTCAGTGCACACGCGTCCTCATCGTTAATAACCTTCGTGCAATGCTCGTCTAGCAGTTCTCAGTCTTCTCCCACCGACCATTCACACTGTTTTGAATTGTGCCTAGTCAATGAATACCACGAGACTGCACCAATTCAACGTTCGGCCCATCTTCTAGCTCTGTCATCGCTTCCACTGAGCGATTTTCAGCCTTTCGAATTTCAAGAAGGTGTCTTTATCAATTGTCAGTGTCGTGATATTGATTGCGTGTTATAACATAGACACAAAGTGAGTTTGCACTCCAGCTATGATTGGGCGTAAACAAATCGTCGCAAAGGCCTTTTGTCCACGCGAATAACAGCGCAGCGTTGTGGCTTGTCAGTTGAGCTATTGCGGAAGCGCGTCTGCTCGATTTGTTTGCGAAAGCTTGATTCGTTAATAAATGAAACTTGCCGCGAATGAACCGCACCTGCACGCATCGAACCGATTGCCAAAAAGTTGTTTCATATACGTATATATAGGTTAACACAGAACTGTATTTTGGTGCTCTAATGTACTACTGAATGCGCGTGAAAGAGTGTTGGCGTGGCAACGGACGGACACGGTGAAAAGTGTTAAAGTGCAAAGTCGACGAGGGTCGGGAGGGAGCGGGTGTACGGCGAGGATGGTCAAGCGATGTCGTTAACTAATCATGTGTCTGACCTATCGACAAAATGCCGGCTAAACCGTGGAGTGTCCGACGGGCTCTCTCGTCCTGATGAGCAGAGTCGAGTTGCGTTGGCGATGCACGGCGGCCGTACGCTGCTCGGCCTAAGCTTAGTAGCAATCGGCTTAGCACACTGACGACGATCGGTATTACACACCTGCAGCGAGAGAGCCTCGTTTCAGGACTCGTTCTGCTTGTTCTTGCGGCCGGTCAGCGTGCCGACGAACGACTTGAGGGTGGCGCCCAAGCCCCGGCCGTTTCCCGGCGTGTTGGCGCTGCCGACGTTTCTGAAGCCAGGCGGATGAGCGTCCAGACACTTTTGGTACCTCAGCTGAAAGCGTGACGCGTTATTTGAAGCTGCTCGTCGCGCTCGCGTGGACGGTCACTGGAAATGCCCGCGCTACCTTGCAAGCGGCCTCGATCGTTTTGCAGAGCGCGCCGCTGCTGGGCTCGCAGTTGAACACGTGTGCGATGAAGAGGTCCTGGGCGGTGTGCATGATGAAGGCGCACTGCTTGACGTTCTGGCCGATGCCGAGGAACGACAGGTAACGCACTCTGCACTCGGCTATCAGCTTGTCGTCCTGAAACAAGGTCATCGTTCCGACTGAGCTTGCGCGCGGAGCTTGCCGAGTCCCCGTCGCAGCGCTCGTGCTATTACGTTAGGCGTGAGTATGGAAATCATGCTAGGCGCAATGGCCACGTTCACGTTCCGCCACTGATTGATGGGCACGTTGCCGATCAGCTGGTCGATGGCGTCGTTCAGTACCTCCATGCCCGTCGCCTGGCTCACTTGCATCGAGCCCAGGTACTGTGCTCGCAGCACCTTCTTCGGCTCCTCCATCGGCGTCGGGAAGGATTGCGCTGAAAACAGTCGTCGCGTGGTCTTTCGGTCTGTCGGAGGCTTTCTCGAGCTAGGAGCTAGGTGGAGCGCTATACTCACTGACGAGGGTTTGGCCGTTTCTGTGCAGTCGTCTGTGTTCGGTGGGCAGATTAGTGGGCCTGGTGGCGAGGCTCGTCCGCCCGTTCACGTCCAGGGGCTTGGCCAGATTCTGGTGGAGGGAGCGTTCGATCATGATTTTCTTGCAGATGTCGCGCAGCGTGTTGGCGATCGTACGAGCCGGTATGTCGCAGCGGAACACGTGGCACATGTGTTTCCGCGTCGTTCGGTCCCTCGCCACGTACGCAAAGTCCCTGTGCAATCGTTATTGATTATTCAAGCATTCTGTGTGCATCGCAATGGACGCGGAGCGCTTTGCTCGATTCACCAAGTTAATTAATACATTCTATGTAGCTGCGGAGTAATTACCTCTCTCTGCGATGAGTAAGTATCCATGTTGGACAGCGGCATCGATAGCGTGCGTACAAAGTAGTTAATTAAATGTCACTCTCCAATTTCTCCAATGTCAATTTTTCTCCAGTGTCAATCCAGACAAAGAGAAATCAGTCGCTCGGGCTTTAATTAATCGCGAGAGGATCTAATTATTTCATCTTACCGTCCGTGATCTCTCCCAACTCCCCAGACTCGTAGAGTATGAATTGGTTGAGTATTGAGAACCGTGAGATTTTCCGGATCAATGAGCTTCAGGGCTCCTTCATCCAGATCCATAAATAAATCTTTGCCCTGGAAACGAATAGGCGTTATCGGGCTACGGCCATTCGACATTGATCGATAATTCATGGAAGAGACAAAATCAGCGTAGGTGATTTGCACAGAGATTGTTGTGAATCAATGATGAACTTACGTCTCCCCATCGACCGACGACGTCGAGCAGATCGTTTCTACCGAGGGACAAGTCGACGATGCACTTGTTAACAGCTTTGCTGCTCCTTTCGGGAGTGAGGTCCTCCTCGGCTATTTCCGTCCAGCCGAGCGATCTGACCGCGAATCTGATTGGCTTGTTTCTGTCCTCCGAGTCGGCTCGCGCCGGATAACTCCTTCGTCTGTTCGCGCGAACAAGAGAGAAGAGACGTTGCACAGTCACGGCTTATTTTCACTTACGGATTTGCATTGCCAAAGAGTGCAAAACTATGCGGATTCCCCGGCAAAGTGGACGACAGGAAGGGACGACATACTTACTTTAGAGCTAACTCCTCTTTCCTTTTGCTCTCGAGCTCTTGGTCTAAGGCGTAGCTTGTGTTGCTTCGGGTGACGGTATTCACCAGGCCGCCCAGCGAGTTGAAGTTGTTGATCTGCAGCCGGCGCATTTAGCGACATTTCAGAATGATGCGTGCAGTGAAATTAATAGCGCTGCCAGTTATTTGCAATGAGACTTACGCTATCGTTATCCTTGACGAAGCTTCGACGAGACTCGATTTTTAGAAAACGGGCCTCTGGTGGCTCCCGCTGGATCGTGCCGGTTTTGATGTGCCAATAGTACGGTCCGTCTTTGTCTGAAATTGAGCGTTCGTTTGAAAACTTTTCGTTAAAAGACCGATCGATCGATCGGATACGCACCCTCGTGCTTCTCCCAGCCGGGCGGTAGGTTCTCGTCTTTGTCTTCGGAGTCGATCGAGTTGTCCTTGTTGGGCTTGTCGAGGTGGTTCTGAAGCTTCAGCTGCTTGTCCTTGGGTTGTCGTCGCTTGACCGGCACGTTGGCGTACAGCTCGTTGTTCACACCTTCGACGTGAGGCACGCCGCCCATCTCTGTCGTCAGGCTCTCGGGCTTCTCGCAATAACTGCTCGAAAACACACAAGCGGACATGCGACGTCATATCGTTTTCTCGTTGGCTTTTCTTTTAACAGCGGCTCAAAGTTACTTCGCGACGAGACGCGAGTTATGGGCTCGTTTCGTTCGCACCAAGTACGGGATTAAGTGGACGAACGGAACCCTGCGACACTTTTATTGCCGCGCGGCCCACAAGATTGCCACCCACTCTCGCAGCACTTTACCCCTCGCCTGTTGTCGTGATATTCGAAGGAGTTTACAGACAATTTTTTACTCTCTAATTGCTTTATTAGATTGCTTTTCCTACACTCTCAACGCTGCCGCGATGTGCTCCTATAATGGCACTGCTCGCGAGCGCATAAATGACGACAGCAAACAGTTGAATTATACTTTCTGTGTGGATCGTTAAAAGACAATTATCGCGTGGTGCGGTTAACGCGAACGTACGCAGGCATTGCAATGAAGAAATTTCGCAACCGAGTATGAGTGGAAACGGAAGCCGCGAAGAAGCCTTGGGTCGCGCGCTCCGTAACTTATAGCTCGTACTGGCAACCTCAAAGCGAGTGTCGACGTATAAGTGCTCGGCTAATGAACCATTTCTAATTAAAGAAGCTCAATACGCGTACGCAGTAATATGCAGGGATACGATTTTCAAACGCGCTCATTTACAAAATTCGCACCTGAGAATGTACGATAACTTTGGTAATCTGACGGTAATTAATACGTGCACGGCCCGCGTCGTGGGCAACGAACGTGCTTCGCACTAGTTGGAATGCGACTTAGGCTTGCAGTTCTGACTGAGAGAATAATGGATGTAGGTTTAGCGAACAATACAGTTATGGTCCTGCACTAGTCGGTCGAGTTTTCCGTATACAACGTCAATTGCCATCGTACCGAAGCGTGAACGAGCTGCTGCTAAGCGTGTATGCACAAAGCGGAAGGAGAGAGAGAGAGAGAGAGAGAGAGAGAGAGAGAGAGAGAGAGAGAGAGAGAGAGAGAGAGAGAGAGAGACAAGGGAGACAGTGTACAAAATAAGAAGACTAAGCAAGCTGTAGTAAACATATACATATAGGACTAGATTGCGTGCGGGCATATGGGGCTAGATGCTGGCACGTTTAAAGCAAGCTTCTCAAGTTTATTGCAGTTATATGAGTATCGTTAATTACAGCGCCTAACGTTGCAGCGACCATGGATCGACGTATTCTCTTAACAAGTCAGTAATTGAGATTCGCGGGTGATCGCACGCGCCACGGCAAAACTTATGATGATGACAATGTATGAATAAACAAGTGAACATGACGGAAGCTCAGTCACACAATGATGGGGGTGCGGGGACAAAGTGATGTAATACACGAACATCGACTGGGTGCAATATTAGCGAGCCAATGCTGCCGCCTGTATACTAATACCATACTGAGATATGAATCACGCATGTAGAGAGACATACTTAGTGAGAGTTGAGGCGGCATCGCCGTCATCGGCAGCGGAGGCCTCGTCACCCCGGGGATTGCCGTTGAGGCTGTCGTCGATGAGGCTCGATTCGGCGAAGCTCCCGCACGCCTCGCCAGCACCGTACCTGCGGCCATTGTCGCACACACTCATCGTTAATGACTGACTATCTTCTCGACTCCTTTTCCTCCCGAGAATATACTGCTTCGAAAATCTTGCTCATTGCGTGTTCGATCGTTATTCTATCACCTCGATTGCACTTCTTTACAACATGAATTTTCTTTCGTAAATGCTTTAGCCTCGGCAACTGCGTTCTTTGCGAAATTTTAATGAATCAAAAATACTTGGCAAGCTTTTCAGTGTTCCCGTGACCCTAATTTTCAAGTCTCAACGAATAACACGTCAATTAACGAAGACGCTATGAGCTAAAGTTTTCGACGCTGACAAATGACATTTTTGTTCTGGTTATACGTACACACATTTTACTCACTCTCACATGAATAATGTCAGATGAATACGATAAGAGCATGATGGAATGATATGATTATGATGAAAATGATAAGAGTAATTATGAAGGTGTCAAAAAAATAAACGTTCGACGAAACGGACAGATTTGACTCAACAGAGGCAATTTCGCGATTCCTCGCCAACTATAATAATGATTGGAAGGCAAAGCAAACAGCTCGATTAATTCAGCCGATCATTCGAAAACAATCGTCGCGCAGCTTCTAAGCGAAATTTGCCGTGAAAATCACCAGTGGAACAGATCGCGGATTTCAAGTTAATCGCTCGTAACTTTGCTTTGTCTTGTCTTCAGGCTTCCCGTGCCTTCTGTTATTTCCAAGCTTATAAAATTAAAGGCTCGTGCTAAAGCTATTGGTGGCTATTGATCTTAGTTTTAAGCAGTTTTAATTAACGATTGGATCTCGCACCGATGGTAAAGTAATTAAAGGGTCATCTATTCTTTTTCCTTTGCTTTCTGTCTCTTGCTTTCCGCTGGCAATTTTATTTGTTATTTTTCCTTTTATCTTCTCCACTATCCGTAATTAACATTGCTGTGCGCTCGTAGCCATTACCTTTTTTTGCCGTCTTTCCTCTTTATTATCAGAAGTACCTGGAAATACAGTGCCACAGCCAGTTTGCGCGATACACCGAATAATTCGGTTGCACGGACAATGAGTTCTACGATGCTTGCTCTAGAAACCCCGTAGCAACTGCGAATCGCACTGACTCACAACCAAGACTTTGATAAGCGCACAGAAACTAAATTATAAAGTAACGAACGAAAGTCTGACAGGCTTGCGTAGTACGTCGTCGGCGTTGTCCTCGTACTCGAAGCTACGCGCCGGTACCACGACGCGCGCACGAGAACGCTGCATTATGTATCGAAAGGTCTGCCGAAGCAGGGCGCGAGATGAGTACGAGGGCGAGGTCCGGACGTACGTTTACGACGATTAGCGATTTCACTCCCGGGAAACATGAAGCTCGCCGCGAGCGCCAACCCTGATGTAAACTTAATAAGAGCTCTTGCGCGCGCGATTAAGCCCAGCCGGCTGGTTTGCAAGCAGTCTGCTGCCGCGAGTAGTCCGCCCGCGAACGATTAAAGTTTGATGGCCGTCCAGCTTCGCGCGACTTCCGCAATTGGGATCGTCGCTGGTCGCACGCGGTACGCGCTCAACTGGATGCCCGCTGTCGATCGATAGCCTTCGCGCCCGACGACGCATCGGCGACCGCCGATAGCCGGATAGCCGAGCACGTTGTTTGCGCCGCCGCGCGCATTTCGAAGTAACGAACGACCGAGGACCGAGGCAATCCTGAGCACCGCTCTTCTCTCTAGCCACTCGTATTCGCGCGGCACGCTGTCGCGCAATACTTTAGCTTGCGCCAGTTCCTTTCATTGACCGACGATGCATATACGTACATTATAAAAACGACTCCCGCCTGACTCGTTGACTGCACCTCGCTTCGTGCTCTCTCTCTCTCTCTCTCTTTCTCTCTCTCTGTCGGACTGCGCAATCTTTGCGCGACAGCTTGTACCTACAGACATTCGCTTTGCATATTTGATGTATGTATCTTGGAACAGTAATGTCAATGCGCGTAGTATATATCTATTTGGGATTCGCGTACGTTTTAACATAAATTTTCATACATGTAGATTGAAAGTACGTGCGTAGCATCAATTATGAATCTGCCGCAGGATGCGGCTCAGGCGTAAATAATGCGCAAGCATTGAATTTCCCCTAGTCTGTCTTCTAATACATTTTTGACAGTAGATTCTTCATTCAAGGAAACGAGTATCTATAATAAGCTAATAAATTTTGAAGGATTGCCAACGACATGCCAAGACAAACATGTAAAGAGCCCCGATTACAAGTTTACCTGACGAAAAATCGTGCCGACCGCAAAAGAGCTCATCGTGGCTACGCGTAACACGAGGCTTTAATTGTGGCCGCTGCCGTCTCTTTCTACTTGCAACTAATTTCGGGGACAGCAAACCCAAGCTAATTCCGCTCACGCAGCCCGTAGCTCTCTCTCTCTCTCTCTCTTCCCCCCTCTACGAGCCGGCAACGACTTTTTGTTTAGCTTTGCGCTTGAACCCGCGCGGAAAAAAGCCGTGGTGAGAAGCTCCCAAAGTGCGCCCAAAGAACTCGTTAAACTTCGCTTCTTTGCTACTGTACTGCGTATTTTTACAAACTTTACCTTGTGTTGGCTAACTTAACAGCGTGTACATGGACTCTGCTCGTTTTCAGATTTTAAAGCATTGCAGCAACACTCAAATGGTCATCGATAAAACTGTCGACTCGATTAAGGAATTTGCGGATAACAATGTGGTGGCAATTGCAAATAAAGACATTAATTGAAAAAACATGAGTCGCGGGATATTGACGAAGATCAACGCATTGAAATTCACTTCGTTGCCGCGGAAGCGGCGCATCTCCGGGGACACTCAGAAAAAGGGACAACAAATTCCGGTAAGCAATAAAAGTCGAAGAGAGAGAACCGCGTGCGCGCTGAAGAAACTCGAGAGCTTGCAAAGGTATAGGAGGAGCTTTATGAATAAATCAGATTTTATGTATTGAACGACGAACTACTCCCTTTCTCATTTTCCAGCGGCGAAATCTTGCTCGAGTTAAGGGGACCAGAGGGTGTTTCGTAGTGAAAAATTAACACTTTGTTTATTGCCGCGTAGAAATCATTCTACTGAAGATATCGATGTAGGACTTTTTTCAGCTGAAAGTATTCTATATAAGCTTTCATTTTCTTTGTTATAAGTTCCAGAATAATCATTGTACACCTAATATGGACACAACAAAGACCAAGCTCTATTTTTCAAAAAATGGGGCTTTGCCACGCCTTTCTGAACGCCAGAGTGGACAAAAATCGTTTTGTGAGAGCTCATTTTTTTTGTTATGAACCGGACTACAGAATGAGCGGAGCACTTTTCTAAAAAAGATAATTCTTCCTATTTTTTGAGGATAATTTGCAAAAAAAATTTTTTTGAAAAATTAAAATTTCATATATTGGCTCAAAAAAATAGGAAGAATTATCTTTTTTATAAAAGTGCTCCGCTCATTCTGTAGTCCGGTTCATAACAAAAAAATGAGCTCTCACAAAACGATTTTTGTTCACTCTGGCGTTCAGAAAGGCGTGGCAAAGCCCCATTTTTTGAAAAATAGAGCTTGGTCTTTGTTGTGTCCATATTAGGTGTACAATGATTATTCTGGAACTTATAACAAAGAAAATGAAAGCTTATATAGAATACTTTCAGCTGAAAAAAGTCCTACATCGATATCTTCAGTAGAATGATTTCTACGCGGCAATAAACAAAGTGTTAATTTTTCACTACGAAACACCCTCTGGTCCCCTTAACGATCGATCTCGCGTCTAGTAATTCTCATTATTGGTGGGCACTAATTCATTGACCCGCTGAAACGTTTTATCGACGATGCAAATTTGCCATAATTGCTCGTTCTGGTCTTCCTTGCAGAGAGTTAAAACTCCCAATACTCGCCACGCGCTTTCAATGATTCCATTTCCAAAGCCATTATTCAAGTTTCGTTGCCGCTCCATTCGAAGTGCAGCACTCCCCCTCTCTCTTGGCCGAGCACCAGTCTGACATTTCGATTTGATTTCAACTTGATAAAACTTACAGCGTTTCTGCTTGATATTGCTATTTAAATTTAAAAACGAATGGTCGTTATAAGCTAAGTAGATAGCTCTGGGAACGTTAAATTTTATTTGTTTTGCAGTAAGGATTGGGAACAAACGCTATAAAACTCAATTGGCAGCGAAATATTTGTCCGATATTCTCCAGGCTATTTAGTGAGTCGAGCAGCGTACAAATAATCAAAGTTAAAATAAAAACGAAGAGGAGCAGAAAGAAAGTCCAACGGTAAAGACGAGTGGGTATAGCGAAGCGGAAATTGAAGAGAAAGAAGAGAAAGGCAGAGGGAGAGAGAGAGAGAGAGAACGTCGGAATTGGCTGATACGCGCCAGCACATTAGGTATTTATTTGGAATCGAGGAGCGCGCGCCGTTCCTTATCAAGCTGCGAGAAATGAAAGCATTCGCACGTCGAGCGCCGGTGGCGGCGAGTGTGGCGAAGAGAGAAAAACAAGAGTCTTACGCCGGCGCCTTGCCTCTGCACCGGAGCCTGATCAATACACACCACTACTATACTCGGTGTACTCGCTTGTTTTGTATTGTGTGTGCACCTACACGCCCGCGCTCACAGCCCCGCGACAGCTCGAGGCACGCGCTTTGTATACAGCCAAGCCCTTTACCCTTCGGCCGCGCTATTTTTATGCTGCTCGAATCCAAGATCGCGAGAGCATTTCGCGAACTTTCGGTATTCTTTCGACTGACATTCATTGCTGTGAAAAAACCACGCTATACTGTAATCTCTTTCTACTTTGCCCTATAATATTTTTTGGCAGAGGCGCCTAATCAATTTGTACCGTTGAAATTACCGATGAAACAAGTTGAGCAGCGGCGAAATATAATTGTTTAAATGATAAAGTGACACGTGGGACATGTATCTTGCTTGGCACGTGCAACGAAAAGCAGAGCAAGTAAAGCTCTCCTAATAAAATGAAAAAATATGGTCATGCGTTTGAAATGAACTCGC